ACACACACACACACATGCACACACACACGTTCGCTGAGTCTTTGTCTTGATGTCTTCACTGAATGCTCGTAGTGTGGGCAGCGCTGATTAGCTTAGCTAGGCATGCTAGCTGCACTTTCCCCCCGCCGTGTTTATCTCTGCTGAACTGATGGGCCGCTGCGGTGTAATGGTGTGTTCAAGCGTCTCGGCCTCATAAAGGTTGTTTTGTACCCTTCTGTTGAGAGGTATCGACATTTAAATGCTGTATGTTTGACATTTCTCCCGGGCCTCGGCGTCCGTCTCGACTCGCGCGTGTGTTAGCGTGCATTTGATGTGGCCTTGACTCGTCGCTGAAGTCTATCTAAAACGCTCCTGTGTTTACCCAGAGGTCGAGAGATACTCCATTAGCGAAACCCTCAAGCCTTTTGTTCATGTCATTTGCTTAATTACTTCGTATCAGCAGACATTGGAGATACGTTTCACCGTGCAGATCCTCGGGGAGCATTCTGTCCGTATTTATTTTATTATCTATCTTTCGTTATCATATTTTAACCATTCTCCATCTCACGTGTCCGGCGGTATTAGCAGCTTGAGAGAGAGAGAGAGAGAAATGGAGGGAAATAAATTAGTGGGGAGTGAATTAAAATTTATCCAAAAACAACAGAGATCAGAGCAAGCAGGTGATAGAACACACTCACACACACACACACACTCACACACACACACACACACTCACACACACACACACATACACACACACAGGGCAAATGAGAGAGGGAAATGGAGAAGGCCATTGGGGAGACGGCAGCAAAGTCAAGCTATTGGATTACTGTCCCCAGTGAATCACTCCTCAACAATCTCTGTCTGTCTCTCTCTCTGGTTAATTACTGAGATTTTGGTTTGTTCCTCCACGGGGCTCGTGACTGTGTCTACAGGGTGGGTTTAGGGAGGTCTCGACACCCTCCTCTCACTCCTATATGATCTCTGTCTCTGTTATATTCCTTCTGAGGCTGTTCGGGGTCACAGGATCAATCTCAGATTGAATTATCTTTACCTTACACACAAGCACACACACAATAGTGCTGTTCATAGAGTGTTTGATTTGTAGTCAGTGTGCACAGGTTTAGATCGGTCCGCCAAAAAGCAAATTCATTATTACAAGTTTCTGCTACATTTTTGATGATAGTTTTGATTCACTGGTTTAGACTAAGTTTGCATGGTGCGTTCAGAAACACTGAAGTCACACCCACTTAAATCATACATACTCAAACCACACCCACACAAAAAGTATTGAAGCCACACCCACATAAACACTCCTCAAACCACACCCACTCGAATAATACATATACAGACACACACAAAAACCACACTTGCACAAAATCTCAAACCACACCCATTTAAAACACTACCCAGGTCTCACACACTTGAGCCACATATAAACACGCAAGCTCCACCTACTTGAGCCATACACATAAAAAAATCCTCAAGCCACACCCACATAAACACTCCTTAAATTACACTGACTCAGGCCACACTCACATAAACAAGACTCAATCCACACCCATTAAACCACACCTCAAACCACACCCCATTAAATCACATATTTAGACACATCTCAAACCACACGAACACAAAAAGTCAAGTCTACGTAAAAAACTACCCATATCACACCTATCTGAGCCACACCCAGATAAACACTCCTCAAGCGCCACCTACCTAAGCCACACCCTCTTAAATTATTCATAATTCCACACCCACACATAAAAACATCAAAAACACATCAAAAGACTATCCAGAGCACATCCACTTAAGCCACACCCACATAAACACTCTTCAAACCACACCCACTCAAGCCACGCCCACATAAGACTGCTAAACCACACCTACTCAAACACTGATCAGACCACACCCATTTATAACAACTCAAACCACACCCACCCTAAATGCCAAATACAAAGTCATAGGCACAGCAGCAGCTTCTCCAGCAGTGCTGCTTGTGTTTACAGGCCCATGATAAATCAGGATCAATCTTACAGTAACTTCTCAGGAAGAGCAAACAATGGCATATTTAACTGCCACACAGTTGGATTTGTGTTGTGCTTTGTCTAATTTCAAGGTGCTTCACACAAACGCTCAGTCACTGTGACACACGTCACATCTGAAGTAATGTGAGATGCCACTAATGTAACGTTATTATGCGTTACAGCCCAGCTTGTAAATTATGATGAAATTTCACATCTCCTCCCGTTAATGCAGACGTATATTGAGCTAATTCAAGACGGAATAAAAATGACTGTTATTATCTTCGAATAAAAGTTGGGCTGACGCTTTGTGAGACATCTCATAATTATCAGGACCCTCATATCCATTTAACCGGCGCTGATATGAAGGA